TGTCACCTGGCTGCCCCTGGCTGTAGGAAGACTGGGCAATTGCATGTTAGCTGTTACAGCTTCTCTGGAAGCGACAGGAGCGGGGAAGGGTTTAGAAAAGGGGGTTGTGCCAGCATGTTAGCGTACGAGGGACAATCCATAGAAATTAATGATGCTGTGATTAAATGGTAATTAAATAGTGCTATGAATAAACTTATTTATTTCCATATGTAACGTCATTGATAGTGTCTTTTATTTAGAGTTTTTTGTTATATTTTCCAGGATTTCTATATTTGTCTCCCAATATATCCCCCAACTATACGTTGAGGATTCTGTATATGTATACCTACACATACAGAATAAACCTACACAGAAATGTAGCGGCACTCGAATCAGCACGAGAATGGTATTCTCCACAGCTGCCCGCCTTTTTGAATTCTAAGAAGGACCAACAGTGATCCAACCAAAAGCAATCAGGGCTGATGGTGCCCTGAACTCAGCAGACCGCTCATGCCCTGAGTAGACACCAGGGGGCAGTGCAGCATAAGAAACGAGTGTGATCCCTACAGCTGGGCTCTGTAACTGGATTCCATCCAATTAAATAAACCAATGTAAGTTTTAAGTGGGTGCCTCACCCAAGCCCTCGTGCCACAAGTTCAGCCTGGTTTCAACATCAGTTCCAGAAATGAGCCCCGTGTGATGCCCTTTTAGTAACACATTTCATGTGACTTATTAACATTCAAATTCTTTTCAGATGAGAGGTGGCTGACTGAAGACTCCCAAGTGTTGTCTAACGCAGCATCGCCCAGGGCATTTCTAGCCCATTCTAGGAAATGATAAGAACACACCTAGGTGTTTGTTTCAAAAACTCTGGGTCATGGAGCCTCCAGGGGTAAATGTTTGTGGGGCAGAATGACTTAGGTAAACTACCCACTTTGAAGGGTGAGTTTCTCAGGAGTGGAGCTAGATTTCTTTTTTTTATGTTTTAAATGGATTTGAGAGAGAGAGAGAGAGAGAAAGAAAGAGAGAGGCATCAGTTTGTCGTTCCACCCATCCATGCATTCGCTGGCTGACTCTCACGTGTGCCGTGACTGGGAGTGAACCCACACAGCCTTGGCGTATCAGACCGACACTGACCAGCTGAGCCACCGGCCAGGGCTGGCGCTGTATTTCTTTGTTCTCTAGGAATTTTGAGTTTAAATTTGAAACAGAGTCACATAGGAACAGCAAGGTCTTTAAAAAAAAAAAAGTATAATGACACTTCAATCTTTAAACATATATTCTTTTTTTCTGAATCAGCTGAGATTTTAACACATGAAGAGATGCAGAACCAGCAGAGAATTAGAAAGAAGGCAAAGCAGGTGGGACTTTGGAGTTGAACGTGGGACATGACACAGGGTGGGGCCAACAGCAGGGAGGCCGGCGGTTGCAGGCAGTAGAGCACGCGTGGGGAGGGGGCCAGGGACTCAGCGGACGTGGAGACAGGAGCAAGGGTGGCCGTGACTGATACGAGAGGGGCCCGAGACCTCCCAGGACGAAGGGAGCATTGCCGGGTGGGGGACATAGGGTTTCGGGGAACGCAGGCACGCCTACCAAAGGTGACAGTGCATGTGGCACAGAAATGAACACCTGTAGGGACAGCCAGTGGGTCATAGACGGTTAAGGTATTAGCTTTTCACTGAGGGCGAAGAATATTAACAACCTCCCTGAACTAGCACTAGAAAGAACCAGTAAGGGGCATGCATCTCAAATGCAAAAGCCTTCTTTATTCATTTTATTATTTTATTTCATTCACTTTGTATTGCATTTCCCCCATATACTCCCCTAAATAAGAGCTAATATCTGTTGAGTTCTTAGTACACGCTTAGCCCTTAGGGTTGTACTGAGTCAGGTTCTCTCCTAGTCCCCATTCAGAGAGATCACAAAAGCTGGGAAAGTTCATGAAGCAAGCAGGAGATACAAGTCAAGATTTAATTATAGGTTTTTCTAACCCCAAATTCCCAGTTGTTAACTACCAGCTACACAGCTTAACCTTGGGATGATAAACTCAGTTGATAACACAAGTGTTTTACTTTCTCACTAGCTGCTATATGGGTTACTCCTATTAACAAATTAATTTATCGGGTTTGTAATGTAAAGGACTTTTTTTTTTTTTTTTTAAGCTACTGCCTGTAAAATCAGGAAGCAAATTGAAAAGGGCAAGTTATACTATTCATCTTGACAAGATATTCAGGACTGCACAGTGCCAAGCACAGGGGGGAATCTCTTTTCAAATGAATCCCACAATTCTGGGGAAGAGAAAAATGACTCACATACAAGGAAGTCCTTTAAAAGCAGCTTTTATTTGCTATAAGAATATATAATCTGGCCTTTCTATACGATCCCTTGTGCAAATAACATAGTAGGCATTTCACAAGCAATGCAGAACCTCTATTATATCTGTGCACTTGCTCAATTAAAACATTAGCAAAGGTTGAAATAACATCTTGGGATCAAAGAAAACAGAGGGAGCTCATTTTCTTCCCCAGTGTCATGGCTTCCAAAGTCAAGAAACCGTCAAGAAAGCACAGCCACACTGAAGTCTCAGTGGCTGGGACTGGATGTTTCAAGGAGAGATGAGTGGTTGATTCCGCTGATGCAAGAACTCTTAAATTTTTTCTGCAGGTTTGGATGCTCTTACATTGACATTTACTTAAAAAAAATTTTTTATAAGAGTAGATTAGCATTTATGTGAGTCAAACAGAGGGTATGCCTGGAAGCAAGATCTCAACAGACGGAGAAAAAGGCTTCCCGGAATGACAGTTTGCAGCTTCTTGTATGCATTTGGATGACAGAGGGGACATAAGGAAGGTGGCAGGACCGTGGGAGAAAGCAAGGCGGGGGTGGGTTACAGGACGGTTAACAAGATCCTGTGCTCTCCTGAGGGTGGTCTGAAAAAGGGGCATTTCAGGGGTGTGTTAACCTGGGTGCACAGAAACAACGGACAGGGCTTGCTTAAGACAAAGATAAACCTTTTACTTAAACATTATAGGCCCGGGGTGTGACTACCCGCCCGAACCTGCCAAGTGATGAAGTTATGATCAGATCACCCTGCGAGTTTACTTTTGGTTAGACTTACTACAGTGCCCCCCGCTTTTTGTCCACAATCCATTGGGTAGCAAAGAGGCCACGACCCCAGGGACAGGTTCACTTTGTGGCCAAATGGCTCTGTGCAGCAGGCACGGAGGCATCTGTCTACAAACAGGCAGACATCACCTGTCGAGGTAATCGAACGGAGGTGCAATAAGTACTGCAGCCCGCGGGAGGGTCCTCCCGCTCAGGCACAAGCCCGGGGCTAAGCATTACAATGGCTTCCCTAACAAAGACTTTCCTCCGGGTATAGCGATTAAGTTTCCCTGAAATACCTTCAGGAAGCACGTTGCACAGAAATTGCTCAGTAGCATGATGGGCACTAACCTCTGGGGCCGGCTCCATTGTGTGACTGGTTTACTCGCAATGAACTTCTGGGAATGAAAAGAGAGGATGCGAAGCCCTTTTGATCAGAAACCGAAGGCTGTGGCATCAGGGCACAACCCCATCTCTGCGGGGAGTGACAGGGTGCTGTCCTGGAGCGATTCCCCTGGAGACGAACCCTCAGGCACACTGGGTGTTAAGAATCCCACTTCCTGTTAAGCACACTGAGGCTTTTGGAGATTGTGCCGCTGGAACCTGAAGCTCCCCCTGCCTCAGCCATTTCTGAAGGGAACAAGAGCCACTTCTCACCACGAACCTTCTCTTACAATTTCTGTGAATTTAGTCCCAAAGTAAGAACTCTGAGAGAGGCCCAGTGGGGCAAAAAATGCCACCAGGAAGAGAAGTGAGTGACAGACTCTTCATCCCGCCAGCAGCTGCGAGAGCAGGGGGCTCCCGCAGGGCTCCCCTGTGTGGTCTGTTCGAATGAGAGCCAGTGGCGCTTCAAGCCACCTTCAGCCCTATGGGGGAAAGCCTGCAATTCAGGAGTTCCAGCTCGGTCGGCATTTTATACCCCCCGCCCCGGGACCACAGCTCAAGCAGACAACAGCCTGGAATAAATTTCAAAGCTGGAGTCTCAACAAGGCGTGGGCATCTCATGGATTTCCAGCATTGTCTGCTGTGAATGAAGGTAAGATTTAGCCTGCAGGGCTATCCAGCCTTGTGGTGTCTTTGGGCTACACTGGAAGAAGGAGAGTTGTCTTGGGCCACACATTCAATACAGTGCAACACATAGTCACCAAAAAAACAAACAAAAAAACCTCACTGTTTTTAGTAAATTTGCAATTTTGTGTCTGGCTGCATTCACAGCCGTGGCCCACGGACCACAGGGTGGACGGACGTCCCTGGGAGGAGAGCTCCTGCGAGCTCCCACGGCCTCGCGGGAGCCTGCGCGGCCATGGCGGGCCCGGAGAACCGGCGCGAGGGGCTAAACTTTGAACCTGGACCTGCTTGTGAAGCCTGAGTCCAGAAATATCTATGAACACAACAATTTCTAGTCTTCTTCTCCCTCTATGATGTTTTCATTCGGAAGCACAGCTTTTGTTTTGAGTGTGTGTACTTTGAAAGGTACATGCTTATTTGAATTTTAAACATTGCATTAAAAATAAAAAAAGATGGTCTCAGAAGTGCATTTCCCACATACAACGATTATTAAACCGATGGTCGTATTAGAGCAAGTCAACGTCCAGGGATAACCATAGTATCAAGGGGAGGAATTTCATTTTTTCTGAATAGGTTGTATTGTCTTCGTGTCAGTTCAATTTAGACTTTGAAAGATTTACAGCCACAGGAGACAGCCCTCTTACTGGTTTGCTGCTGGAGTCGGCATTGAGCCCAAAGGCAGCGACGGATGAGTCACTAGCAGAACAGTGAAGGGGGAACCACTTCTTCCTGGGGGCCTCAGGCATGGCTGTGGCAGCCCCACGGGCCCCCAAGGGGGTCGGGGGTGCGACTTGCTGTGGCTGGTGAGCACTGAGAGGCAGCGACTGGGCCCCGCGCTCCCCCTCCCCCTACTTCCGGTTCCAGTTGTGTGAGATGTTCTGAATCTTTTTCATTTTGATCCTCTGATCCAGCATCTTGTACTTTGCAGGATGCTCCTCGGTTTTCTTTGGGATGGAAGGTGCGTAGGAGCTGGATGCGTAAGCAGGGCGTTTAAAGTGGCGCAGAGGTGGCTTGATGACTGCAGGCCATGCAAAGAAGACAGACAGCCGTTAGCCTCAGCGGCGACACTGCGCGACCCCTCACCCCCGGCCTGCGCGTCTTCCTCAAAACCGGGAAACACACTCAGCTAACCTCTCACAGGGAATCCTAGGGAGACGGATGAATCACCGAGATGAACAGGCACACTACCGCCGTGGCCACTCACTTTAAATAAAGACCAGTTCCTACAGGCAGACACGGATGGCTCCAGAAAGGAATGTTTTTTTTCCTAATGAATGGATGGGGGTAAGAAGTGAGAGGGAGTGGGGTGGGGGGGTCACTTTTGGGAAGAGCAAGGCAAAAGGACGTGAACTGAGCCCTGTCTCCGACCAGCATTTAGCATTGTGTGCAGTGCTTGCAACAAAGGACACCATGGAGAAAGTACTACAGGGAAAAAAATATATATATACATATATATGTATTTATATATAAAAAATATATATATATTTAAAGTTCTAATACCCAAGATAACAAAAGATCCAAACAGATTCCTCATCAAAGAAGATAGACACATGATGAAAGAAGCCTAGGAAAAGATGCTGAACAATTTTTGTCACTAGGAATTTGCAAATTAAAACAGCAGAGCTATATACCACACACCGACTAGGATGGGTGAAGTAAAAATTAAAACATCTGATGATACCCACAGCAGGCAAGGAGCGCTCGTTGTTGCTGGTGAGAAGGCAAAATGCATTGGCTAGTTTGGAAGACAGTTTGACAGTTTCTCATGAAGCCATAGTCCTACCCTATGATCCAACAACTGGGCTCCTAGGTATTCACCCATCTGATGTGAAAACCTCTGGCCACCTAAAAACCTGTACATGAATTTTATAGATGTTTATTCACAATTGCCAAAGACTGAAAGCAACCAAGATGTCCCTCCATGGCTCAATGGATAAACAAATGGCAGAACATTCACCCAGGGGAATATTATTCAGGGATTAAAAGAAAAGTGCAGTGAAGCCACGTGAAGACGTAGATACATTTTAAATGTGTTTTGCTAAGTGAAAGCAGCCACCTGAGAAGCTGCAGGCTGCACGATTCTGTTGATAAGACTGCCGCTCCTGCTGCAAAGCCTGTAGCCAGTGAGAGAATGTACAGGAGAGTCAAGGTAAACCCAGGTGACGTGATCACGGCACCAGATGAGCTACAGTAATTAGGTGAAAGATGAGGAGGCGACAGGGCAGGTGCTGAGTCACTGCCTGGAACCCCCCCACCCCCGACCCCCCACCCCCCCCCCCCCCACCGCGCTCACCCTGCGGCTGCACTGCGCCCCCAGAAGGGCCAGCAGAGGAGCGTGACAGACTAGGACTTGCAGAGCGAGGACTGGGGGACAGCTGTATTAAACAGGGGGCTACCCTCATGAGAAACCAGCTTTGCCAATCTCTTCCAATAAGAGGAAAAAGCGTGATGTTTATGATCAAGCTAAAGATTAGGAACGACTTCAATGTATAATCACAGGGAATTGGTTAAGTTCCAGTCATTCTTAAAACATACTCCTGTGATACTATGGAAAAATGATATTAATGTCACAGGTAAAAAAAGGTTCATGTAATACTGTTAAATGCAAAGAAAAGCAATGATGATGATCTAACCTTATTATTATTATAAAAACATATAACCACATGCACAGGAAACTCTGTAAGAACATACATTTAAACCACAGCAGTGATTCTCTTAAGTGGTATAAACATAGGTCTTTCATTTCTTTTTGGTTGGTGACACCTTCTAGTTTTTCTATTATGATCAGGTTTTATTGATCATAACTTTTGCTATAATATTGCTATAATAGAATTACAGATCGGAGCCATTCTACAAAATCATACACAACAGAAAGTCAGTAAAACTGAGTTTACTCTGGGCTTCGGTGTGAGTCTCAGAGAGTGCGGACCTGAGCACACATCTGACGCCCACAGAGCCACCTCCATCCATTGGCACCTTCCAGCACCCACGCTGTCCCGAGGACAAAACCATGAACACGACAGACAGGATTCCCTGCTACTCTCCAGGGGCCCCCATTTGGGGCCCCCCCTCTGAAACTGGTGACCTGCTTAGAGAAGAAAAAGTGTTCCAGCACGATTAGCGATTCTACTACTCTGAGCTCTGACTTCGCCTTTTGAGTGACGATAACTTGTGGTGAAGGCCTTCAGCGAATGGTCCTGCAGTGATACCGTAACGTAGATGCAAAAGAACAGAGATTTTTAAGATCTCAGAATGCTTACATCAGTGTTTCGTAGGGTAAGCAAGGGGCGGCAACACCAAACACTCTAGGAACAAACGTAAAGGCAGTCCTGTGACCCTGGCGGGCGGGGAAGAGGTAGGAGAGGGCTTCAGAATCCAAGCTGATGGCTGCCAGCGCCTGGGCCAGCTGATTTATTGCTCACGTCACAGTCCCTCCCCGCCTTCATTCTATTTTTGCTGCCCAGCGTGAACCCAGCCTAAGTATTATTGAATTTCCCACTTCTCAGCATGGAGAAACATTTACCGTTTGCTGGAATCCTGATTGTCAGAACAAAAACTCTCCTTGCCACCGGAGTCACCGCAAATAGAGCTGAGCCTGCTGAGAGCGCAGGGCTCCCCACCGACACTCTGGGGGTGCTTATGCGCTGGCTGTCACCCTCCCTCAGACTGTGGGGGAGAAGGGAAATGTCAAAAGGGCTGTCTTATACGCACTGACTGCCTCTCCCCTCTGCAGGGACTATGATTTGATCACAGGGCAAAAGAGCAGAGCCGGAGAGGAGGGCGTCATCTTGAGTTTCACAGGGACTTCTCTTCTCGGAGTGCTGGCGTGGCCTCCTGAGGACGCCTTCATTCCAGAGATATTCCTGGCAGGGGGCCTGACCCTCCCGCCTCCGTAACGGGGAACCTCCCGCAGCAGAACCCAAGCAGCCCTGTTACAGTCCATCCCTCACCGTCCGTCTTCTCTCCAAGAAAACCACGCTGGGAACAGAGCCCTCTCCCCACCATCGGCTTTGTCATCAGCAAGTCGGAGTCTTTTCTCTTGGGGACACATTCACAAAGTCTGCTCTCATCTCTTGGAGCAAGTTACTTGGAGAAAAGGATCTAGTTAACTCATGAAGATGTGACAAAGGCTCCTGTCTCGCATAGAAACCGCACTTAGCAAAGTCACGATCCACAGGGTCCGGCAGAAGTAACGCCTGCTTGAGTGTGGTTGTTAGGGTAGCAATATGGGTGTAATAATTTATAGTTTTAATTTTAGCATTTTACCTAAAATGTCATCGGGTGTGCTTGAGTGTGATGTTGTTACGTTACAGAGTTATATGTTTATGGTTTTGTAATAAAAGAGGGGTGTGACTTGTGCCAGACACTTCCAAGCGTGCTTAGGAGAAGTTCAAGACAAAAGTTGACGCATCATCATCTTTATTTTACGATTACACACACAAAGTTTGTTTCTCATAAAAGTGACGTTCTTTTAGGAGCTTTAATCCTCCGTTGTTTAAATCTCACCTTTTCCATAAACACCACAGTTCTTCCCAAAGCTGTCTGTGACTTTCTCCCTTTCCTCTGCCACCACCAGCCCCCCTCCCCTGCTATTTTCTGGGTCCCTCTTTCAGACACGTTGCTTGGTGGCTACTTCTTTTCTTTTTTTGATGGAGGGCATTGGAGATTATTAGATAGAATTATTCTTCTTCAGAAAATAGATAGGGATTTATTCATACCATACATTGATGGCAATTAGTTGGGTTCAGATGTTGAAATTTGAATGAGGTTTTTAAAACTCCTTCTTTGAAAATTTATTTAGTCTACGTTTCTCAAAGTACCTTCAGACAGTCATGGGTATAACAGACGGTGCTGTGGGAGGGAGGGGTTCTTAAGTCACATTTAATCGGGTGTAAGTAAAACTAGTATTTTTGTGTCAGGACTTCTCTGAGATCTAAATGATGGAGAAGAGTATCCTGACTCCCTGAGAATACCCAAAGCATGTAGTTTTCTCAGTGTTCTCCGGCTAAGGAACCCCCTTTGATGAGGAGCGTCTCACAGAGTGTTCAGAAAACACTTTCAGTAGGACTGGGATAATCCATTATCCCATCACATTGTTGTCATTAATTCAGCGCACCTTGTTGGTCCGCGCTGAGGGGGCAGCAGGCCAGAGAGCGGTCTAAAGTCCTCGTGTAGCCTAGTCCAGCCTGATTCCGTGAGTCCCCACCAACCTGAACTGGCATCTCTGTTCTCCCAGGCTCCAGCTGGCAAAGGTGATCGAAATCCGCAGAACCGAACTTTCCTCCCGTGGTTCAGCAACATCTCCATACCTGGATTTCCTGCCCATTTATTTGCTCAAGAACAATGTCAGCACACTGCTTTCCTTTGAATCTCAAGTTTGAGGCGTGAGCACCTCAGTTTGCACAAATGCTACAATCTCAGCTCATTTCTGAAGGTCTTCCAACGTACAGAGAAGAACTAAGGCACAGCTGACAAGCCTCCTTCCAGCTCGCCAGCCCTTCTCCCCACCCCCACCCACCCTCTCACCCTCGCCACAAAGAGATGCAAGAGGAGAAGGGAGCAATTAAATGAGGCTGGAAGATCGGCTCTTCATATTCAAACAGCGGCTACTTATTAAATGCCCTGAACCCTTATGTTTTAATGATTAATGATTATTTAATAAAATTATTATTTTAATAATAAAAGAATAAGAAAGTCTTCCCTCAAGATGATGCTCATCCGCCATTAAGTTCTTTGTTTCCATTTTGCTCACCCTGACAAGCACAAAGGACATGAACCATGCTGGCTTGGAAGGGAAAAATATTTTGGAGATGACACAAGCGAAGTCCCTTGCTTGATTTTTCTGATTGTGTACATTTTTCCCACGTATGCATATGAAGATGGGAAGTGTAAGGCCAAATCAGTAGGTCTATGTCCCTCCTTCACCCCACCAACGACCTACACAAGAAAAGGACTCTGGAGATAAATTTCTGCAGGGTTCTCAAGTTCCAAAGTGCTAAATTACAAATAAGCTTTGAT